GGGGCGGGGAGGGAGGGAGGAAGAAGGAGAGATGCAGGCTGGCTTTCAGTTATTTACAGGAGGCATTTCCTCCTACCCATTGCAGCCAGCAGAGAGAAGCCTGCTTTCAATGCGAGTGGAATTTTTCTAGGATTCTTTTCATGGAAGGGGCGGTCCTTCCAGGGCTCTGACTCTGCATAAGGGACCTAGGACCATCTCCTTTCCTCTTCTTCCAAGGGCCAGTTTCTACCCCTGCCACACCCATACGCTGACTCCAGACTTGTGACCTGTGGCCAGATCTGACACTCCCCTCGACCAGCTGAGCTCCAGTTTACTCTGTTTATCCTGAGCTTAGTTAGGTCTTGGTTTCTGGCCCCTGGGGATTTCCCTTACTCTATCCTGAGGAGCATGGTTTGGGAGTTTGGGGTAGGGGAGTCTTAGTTTCCTAGGGCTACTGTAACAAATTACACAGGCTACGTGGCTTAAAACAACAGAAATTTATTCTCTAACAGTTCTGGAGGCCAGAAGTCCAAAATCAAGGTGAGGACAGGGTTGGCTCCTTCTTGGGGCTCTGAGGGAGAATCTGTTCCTTTCTCCTGGCTTCTGGGGATTGCCAGTAGTACCCTTAGCTTGGCAGCTGCATCACTCCAATCTCGGTCTCTGGTGTCACATGGCGCTATTCCCTCTGTCTGTGTCTGTTGAAACATTTTCATTTCTTCCATGGCCGTGGAATATGAGGTTTCTGGTTTCTCCAAGAGACATTGATTTTAAGTGTTCAAATTTATAAATTTAAATTGTAGTATTGTCTGTGTAAGCATAAACCCAGATTTGCTGATTTATTATTTTCACAAAATTTTAACACCCCTCAAAAACATAGTACTTTGTGTTTAAGCTGTTTAGAAATGTTTATACATTTTTCAAAAATAAAATTTAATTCTGAGTTTTTAATTTTCAGCCAGAAAACCTTGCTCAGAAGCTTCCAAACCTTGTGGAACTGTGAGTGTGTTTATTCAAATTTTTTAAAAATCAAGAATGAAAATAATTATAAGTTATTTGAAATAATAGGAAATATAATTTTAATATGTTAACTTATTATTTTTTGATATGATTATGGTGCTTATGTAGGTAGACCTGTGGTTCTGCTAAACCCAATAGTGTTTTAAAGTATTTTATCCTTTTAATTTATGTTTTAAATATCTTACCTCAAGGTAGTGAAGAAGATGAAAGATACATTTTTCCTGGGTGCAGCATCTTTGTCACAGAATCCTTCTGGATAGTCCATGGAATTGGGAAAATTTGTTATTATTATTGTTACTAGTATTACCTGTGATACTTGATATAAACAGTCAGACAGTATAAAAGATTTAAAATATAGAGTAAAAGCCTCCTTCCCTGCATCCTCCACACTTCATTTGTTTTAGTTCTTTTGATGATTACCTCCATAATGCTACATAATATGTTTACACCTTTGTTTTTTAGTGCATCAACTTTAAGTATCTATTGACCACTAAGGAAGATAAGAAATTTAGATATCTTGTAGTTCCCTTTCTTTCCGGCTGCCTCCTAATTTTGTGGAAGGAGGAGTTTGCATTGCTATTTCTTGTTATCTTTATTATTTGGTGTGATTTTCAGGAGCTGAAGCTAACCCTTCACTAAATTTAACCAGTTGTTAGCATTTTTCCATATTTGCCTTCTTCCCTTCCCTCTCCTACCTTCTCTCTCCTACTCTCTCCCTTGTCGCCACCGCAGCCCCCAAGTTACAGACGTTACATTTACCCCTAAATACTTAAGCATGTATCTTTCAAGAATAAGGACATTCTTGCACATAATTAAGTATCATTATCACACCTAAGAAAAGTAATATTCATTCAATAATCATCTAATATGCAGTTCATATTTAAATTACCCCCATTTTCAAAAAAATATGTCTTTTTAAAGTAGATTACTGGATTTGTTTGACTGTTTCCTCTTGATTAGATTCAGTTTAAGCATCTTTGGTGATGTTCTACCCTATTTGCTTTATCAGATTTTTGCTTTCCTTCTCTTTATACATAGGTATACGTGTATTTATTTTTTCTGAAGCTTTTGAGAGTAAGTTACATACATCGTGGCTCTTTACCCCTAAATACTTCAATGTGTATTTCCAAGAACAAGGATGTCTTAACATTGTCTTAGGTCTACTTTTGTGTCCTTAGTAGAATGCTTTCAAGTTTTCTTTGTATAGGTTTTGACCATTCCTAAAGTTTACTCCTAAATATTTAATCTTTTTTCCTTGCTGTTGTTAATGAACTTTATCTGTTGTATCTTCTAACTGGTTATTTTTTGTATGTATGAGCACTGTTGATTTTTGCATGTTAACTTCATATCCTCCTACCTTGCTAAAATCTTGTATTGTTTTATCACAGATTCTCCAGGATTTTCCAAGTATACTCTCCTGTCTGAAAATACCGATTCTTTATTTTATTCATTATTTCTTCTTTTCCGAATCTTATGCCTTTGTTTTCTCTAGTGTAAGTACATTGGCTAGTCCCTCCATAACAATGTGAAATTGTACTTCAGATGGTGGGCATCCTGGTCTTCTCTCTTGACCTTAGTGTGAATGCCTCTAGAGTTGCCCTATTAAGAAAGATGCTGGCTTTACAATTAAGGTATATGTGTTCTATTGTGTTAAGTAAATATCCGTCTGCATTAATTATCTATTGCTGCTTAACAAATTACCTCAAAATGTAGTGGTTTAAAACGTAGAAGTGCTTAAAAGAATAAACACTTATTATCTCGTATTTTCTGAAGTTCTAGAATCTGGGCTTGGCTTAGCTGGGTGCCTTGGCTTCAGTATCTCTCTCAAGACTGCAATAAGGTTGTTGCCCAGGGCTGCTGTCTTACCTGAAGGCTCAATTGAAAAAGGATCCTCTTCTATGGTTACTCATGTGGTTGTTAGCAGGATTCAATGCCTTGCAGGTTGTTGTACTGAAGGCCTTAGTTCCTTGCTGGCTATTAGCCAGAGGATTTTCTTAGCTCCTTGCCATTTGGCCCCTCTATAGTGTAGCTCACAACATGGCAGCTGGCTTCTGTCAAAGCAAGAAAGCAAAAGAGCAAGAGAGGGTATGCAAGACAGGAGCCACAGTCTCTTTCTAATCTAATCATGGAAGTGACATCCCATCACTTTTGGGCTGTCTTGTTCATTAGAAGCAAGTCACTAGGTCCAGCCCACACTCGAGGGGAGGCTGTTACATAAGGGCCTGAATGCCGGGTGGTGGAGTTCAATTGGGAGCATCATAGAGGCTACCTACCACACTATTCATTCCCAGTTTCTGAAGAATTTTTATTAGTAATCAGTGTGGAGTTTTTTCCAAAGGCTTTTTCAGACTTTAAAGAAGAAATCCTTGGGCCCTTCAGGCAAAAAAGTGAAACAATCATGAAGATAAAGAAGAATGTAGCATAATACTCCAAACTGATTTATGTATACAATGGTTATTGAATTCTGGCTCCACCGTTTTTTCTTTGAGCCCTTTAAAAGTATTTTTGATTGTCTTCTGCTCTCCATAGATTCTCATAAGCAGTCAGTGGGGTTTTAATCCCTTTCCACATGTATGTAATATATCATTTTTTTCTGGCTTCTTTCAAGATTTTATCTTTGGTTTTCAGCAATTTAACTATGATGTGCCTTGCCAGGATTTTCTTTGTATTTATCTTGGAGTTTGTTGAGCAACTTGAATCTCTGAATTTATGTCTTTTACCAATTTGGGGACACTGTCAACCATTATTTCTTCAAATATATTTTATGCTGCATTCCCTCTCTCCTTCTTGGACTCCATTTACACATATGTTAGACCTGTTGATGTTGTCCTACATACCTCCGAGGTGCTATTCATGTTTCCTTTAATCTCTTTTTCTCTCTGAACTTTAAAGATTTTATTTATTTATTTTTTCCCCCCAAATCCCCAGTAGATAGTTGTATGTCATAGCTGCACATTCTTCCAGTCACTGTATGTGGGACACGGCCCCAGCATGGCCGGAGAAGCGGTGTGTCAGTGCGCGCCCGGGATCCGAACCCGGGCCGCCAGCAGCAGAGCACACGCACTCAACCACTAAGCCACAGGGCCGGCCCCTCTCTGAACTTTAGATTGAATCATTTACATTCATCTGTCTTCAAGTTCATTGACTTTTTCCTTTGTCATATTCATTCTGTGATTCAGCTTTATCCAGTACATTTTTCAGTTCTGGAATTTTCTTTCTTTTTTTTTTTTTTACCTTTTGTTTCTCTGCTGAGATTTTCTGTCTTGTCACTAGAGGCATATTTTACTTTAGATCACTATGCAAAGTTATAACAACTACATAAAAACATTCTTGTCTGCTGAATCCAGCATCTAGGTTATCTTGAGATTGCTGTCCATTGTTGTTGTTGATAATGGATCACATTTTCTTGAATTTTCATGTTGAGTAATTTTACATTATATTCTGACAATTGAGAAGTTATGTCTTGGAGACTGGAATCTGTTATATCCCTTCAAAGAGTGTTGATATTTTTGTTTTAGCAAGTAATTTACCTCTTTTGACTCACACAGTAAGTTGTCTCTTGGAGGGCAGCTGAAATCTCAGTCCAGTTCTTTTGTCTTTAGCTGTGGTTTCTTCCACATATGCTTGGTTCCAGGGTCAGCCATTGATTTAGGCAAAGTTTATATGTAGAATTTGGGGTGCCCCCTCCATGGCTCTTTTTTTCCTGATATTCTCACTTTACTTGTAACTGGCCATGGCTGTCCTGAACTCTCTCCTCCCATTCTTTAGGCTAGCAAGACTGCAATTTTCTATCAGAATTTTAGCCACTATCTGTGGTAACTGTCTGTATACTGCCTTAGACTAAATGCTGTTTTAAAAAAAAAAGAGAAAACTCACACTCACTCAGTGCCATTCCTTCTTCTAAGTGTTTCCTCTCCTCCGGAATTGGCTTGTTTTTGTTTACTCTGCAGTGCTTTAGGGTAGTTTTGTCTGTGTGTGTGTGAGTGTGTGTGTGTTTTTTTAATTGAGGTTTAATTGACATATAACATTATATTAGTTTCAGGTGTACAGCATAATGATTCAATATTTGTATATTTTGTGAAATGATCACAATAAGTCTAGTTAATATCCATCACCATATATAGTTACAAAATTTTTTTTTCTAGTAATGAGAACTTTTAAGATTTACTCTCTTAGCAACTTTCAATATGCCATATGGTATTATTAACTACAGTTACCACACTGTACCTTAAATCCCCATGGCTTATGTATTTTATAACTGGAAGTTTGTACCTCTTGAGCCCCTTCACCCGTTTTGCCCACCCCCACCTCTGGCAACCACCAGTCTGTTCTCTGTATCTGTGAGTTCATTTTTTTGTTTGTTTTGTTTTTTGTTTTCAGATTCCACCTGTAAGTGAGATCATATGGTATTTATCTTTCTCTGTCTGACTTATTTCACTTAGCGTAATGGACCTCAAGGTCCATCCATTTTGTTGCAAATGGCAAGATTTCCTTTTTTTTTTTTATGGCTGAATAATATTTCGTTGTGTATGTGTGTATGTATGTATATACCATATTTTCTTTATCCATTCATCTGTCAATGGACATTTAGGTTGTTTCCATATCTTGACTATTGTAAATAATGCTGCAGTGAACATGGTGGCACGTATATCTTTTTGAGTTAGTGTTTTTATTTTCTTCAGATAAATACCCAGAAGTGGTATTGCTGGATCATATGGTACTTCTGGTTTTAGTTTTTGAAGAACCTCCATACTCTTTTCCATAGCAGCTACAGCAGTTTACATTCCTACTAACAGTCCACAAGGGTTCCGTTTTCTCCACATCCTTGCCAACACTTGTTATTTCTTGTCTTTTTGATAATAGCCATTTTAACAGGTGTGAAGTGATATCTCATTGTGGTTTTGATTTGCATTTCCCTGATTAGTGATGTTGAGTGCCTTTTCATGTACCTGTTGGCCAACTGTATGTCTTCTTTGGAA